GACATGTGGATAAGTTTTCAAACATGTGGAAAGAGAAATGAGAAAAGCTAATTTTGTAGGGGGAATTTCATCTATATAAATAACAAACCAACATGTTCTACATTTTGAGATTAAGTTTTGGAAGTTCGTTTGTTTTGATTATTGGATTGGTATATACGCAGAATAAAATAAAGAGGTGTCTTTACACAAAACACTTGTATTTCAGCTTATGAAAACTATAAACCCTTGTGTTTCGAATAACAGTGATGAGCCCTAGAAAATAAACCTTGTTCATTTGATTTAGGTCTTAGTATTGTACACAGTCGATGTTTTTGTTTTAAAACCAATCTCGTTTTTTTTTTTTTGGTTAGATTCAATGGCAAATGCAAGTGGAAGTAATTGGCAAGAGGACGTTTACCAAAAGGTACTTGTCCCTTTAAACGTTTGCTATATCTTTACTTTGGCTATACACGGTGTAATTAGGAAGCGATCTTATACACAGATATCACAGTGATGAGTAATCGTGTGATCTTCTTTGCAGATCAATTCCATGAAAGATATATACTTACCAGCACTGCATGATATCCACAAGAGATTCACAACTAGATTGCAGCAAGTAAGTACATTTGTTTTTTTTTCCCCTACTTGGCACGTAACAGTAGTAAGTTATGAAAGAGTTCAATGCAGGATCGGGTTGTTTCTTTTCTTGTTGAACACGTTTCTTTTTTCTCTCCAGGAGCAGTTTCTTCCGGAGCAACAAAGAAAAATAACTAATGATGTGAAATTGGGACCATTCATGACAATGTTGGAGCGAATGATACAACTCCTATCCGTTTCAAAGAGCAATATACAACCTGTTTTAAAGGATAAGGTGGATGGTTATGAGAAGACGATCGCAGATTTGTTAAATTGTCACAAGCAGATCTTAGAGAAGAGAGGACAGAGCTCTCAGACAAAATGAAGAAGATCAGTCTCATGAAAAACAAACCTCATAATTTTTTTCTTTTAGTTTTATCATAGAAAGTGTAAAATCTT